ATTAAAAACCCTGGTTCTGTGGAAGCTTGACCCTACTCATTCAGGCTACTTCTACTGTTCCAACTTTATAAATAACTCCAAAGTCTCAGAAGTTGTTTACTTTATTGGCTTTGAGCAGACCGCTGCTGACCTCTGTTTCAATCTTTCTTCATAAAAATTTGGACAAAATACACCTCTTAAAGTCATACTATCATCACAATACTTAATGATGTTAGCACCATAAAATTCCATGAAGAAACCTGCTAGAGCTCATAGAGAAAAAACCTTCCATGAAACTCCTAGAAATTAATACTGTAAAATTTTGGAAATCGTAGCCTAGGATTTCTGTTCTGCCATCTGACGAATTCACAACAGTTCAACAAATAAAAATCACTTCTCCAATATTTTTAATGCATATCATTTTCTAAAGATATCAACTGTTTTAGAATTTTAGAACTAGATGACATAAATTTATATTCTATCTTTATGGCAACACAGAATTGTACTTTTACAGGATTCTTTTCCAAATAGGAAATACTACAATTGGGAAAATAGATATTTGCATCTATGTTCTGAATTCGTTTTGAGAAAAAACACAACTACCTATTGCAGCAGGTTGGACTAACTCATGTTTGCTCAGTCTATAAAGCATGCCAAATCAAATCACATTGGTGAGCACTAAAGTTCAAAAGCCACATATTGGATATGTTAAAAATAGCCATCAACTGTAAAAGCTGACCCATGTAGTGAACTTACACTTTCATTCTCAATAGTGTTATATGAACTGTGAGCAGAACTCTAATTTCAGCCTTATCAAATCCTACTATAAAAATATCATTGCTTCTTCATATTGTAATCTTTGGTCCTAATTATAAACCAAATCTTCTATTGGATTTTTATGGCTTTACTTCCTCTATTTTCTTTTTTTGGAGAATCTCTAGAATTCATCTTTCCACCACTCCTCAGACTAGCATTCTGCAGTTCCATTCATTTGTCTCTCGAGACATTCTCAACTGAACAATTAATACTGTCACTTACTTTCATTTTATTTCCATCTCACAATTGTGGAATGGTTACAGCACAAGAGGACATTTAGCCTGGTAGGTCAGTGCTGATCCTCTGCTTGAGCAATTCATCCCTATCTTTTCCCCATACCCTGAACATGTTTCTTTGGATAATTTCTTTTGGAATACCTCAATTTAATTTGGCTCCACCACTCTCTCTAGACAGTGCATTTCCAATTCTAGCCACTTGGTAATTAACAAAATGTTTTTCCTCATGTCACTATTGTTGTGTTTTTTTTGCCAAATGCCTTGATTTTATGCCTTTTGACTCTTTTATGCCTTTCTTCCACCAATAGGAGCAATTATTCCCTTTCTATTTTGTCCAATCTGTTTATGATTTAAAATCTTCATAGAATCTCCTTTCAACATTCTCTCTTCCAAGGACAGCAGTCATTGTTTCTCCAATTTATCCATGTAACCGGTTACTCATCCCTAAAACCACTCATGAATCTTTCTTTTCTGCACCTTTTAAATGCCTTCACCTCCTTCATAAAGTGTAGTGCCCAGAAGTAGACGTGATACTCAGTTGAGGCTGAACTTGCGTTTTATACAAATTCAACATAAATGCTTTTGTATTCTCCATAAAAATTGTTAGTTCATTCTCTCCATAGACTTGATTTCTTATATTCTTGTTTTTCTCTGTTTTTAACTGTGCAAGCCTCTTGGGCAACTAGGGTGAACGCTGCAAGGTTCCAGACTATATCAGGTTCCACTTCATCCTGCTCCTCCAGGAATACAGAGTGGTCATTGTTTTCTTCCTCCTACAGCTCCATTCCTTTTTGCAGTTTGTGCACCATACAGCAGACTATACCAGTCTGAATACCAGTACCAGTATCTGACTAGGAGATGTTGTGGGGTATTCCCAAATTCATCTAAGCATCCGTACTACATTTTTCAGCAACATACTGGCTTGGCCTATATCCAGTGCATCAATAATTAAAGGTCATAGATTTAAAATTACATTGGATTTAGAGGGAGACAAAGATATATAGTTTTCAATGAGACAGCTGTCAAGATTCATAATACTTTATCTGAAAGGTGCTGGAAGCTAATTCCATAAATAATTTTAAAAGGGACTTGGGCAATCATGAGAGGCTGAGGAACTTAACAGGATAACAGACAAAATGCAAGTGTCGAACTAAGCATGATTGTTTATTCAAAAATACATTTCAAACTAATTAAGTCAAATAGCCATCATTTATAATTAAACATGATTCAATTTTCTTCTAAAACTTCTTAATTAATCTACCTTTCTACATCTCTTTCCAAATGCCTTCTCAAAATATAGCTCCCTAATCATACTTTAAGCTGTCTCACTTATTTGTTTTCTAACTTCCAGATCAGTATCTTTCAATACCCTTGTAAGTTTCATCTTGGATAATTTCCTTTTCAGAAAAGTGCAAACTGTTGTCACAAACATTGCACACCATCATTTGCACTCATGTTTCAATCTGCACTAGCCAGTTGTACTTTCCATCTTTGTGCCATCAAGTTGAAATAGATGCTGACTGCTTGATGACCTAGCTTATGATTCCTATTCCCCATCCAAACATGAATGGATAATATGTTCCAATGACAGCCTTGGAACAAACTATCAGTGCTCCAAAACAATGTTTTTGTTACCTTGCAGGAAGCTTTCCACTACTTGCAGGATCATTTCTACAAATCTGTGGCAGTCTGCTGTATGCTCCACAATCTACTATGAGGACAAAGCCTTTTCTATGAGGCCTTCACTAAGAGGAGGAGGAAGAGCAAGGATCAAGTAAAAAGTGGAATTGAGGTAGTGCTATGATCCCTTCAATTTGGATGAGCTGTCCATGACAACCACAGATGGTAGTTCCCCTGAAATTTCATCTCCATGTCACCACTCTTCACAATTCTCCACCTTACCATCTTCCATTAGGGACAATCACTGCAAGTTTTTGACCATAATCCTGAAATAAAAGGCACAACTAAAGTACCATTCATTATAACTTCATTAAATAATACTTTCAATGATACATACAAAATTGAACAGTTCATCCTGTATATTCTCTTAGTACCTATCTTATGGTTGACTGGCTTTGAGTACCTGTGCAAAGCAACTTCAGTTGCTGCAAAATGACTGGTGGAAGGCTGGTATTTTTATTTGCGGAGAGTTATAGGAGACCCTTGAGTAGCTTTACACCTTGAAGGCCTGAATTCAAACTGCACCACCGGCAGCAGTCTATTCTGGCTAGCTAAAAGGCAAATGCCAAGGAAGCGGCAGAACCACTTTAAACAGAGATTTTAAAAAAAATTTCATGGGATATCAGTTTTGTTGCTGTCCCTAATTGCCCTTGAAAGTGTGGAAGTGAGCTACCTTTTGAAACCACTGAAGACCATGAGGTGTGAGTACACATATGGAATTGTTAGAGAGTTCCACAACTTTAAGCCAGCAACAATGGCAGTAGTTCCAACTCAGGATGGTACGTTCACCTTGGAATGATTGTCATCCATTCAAAGTCAGAGCCTTAGTAAACCTACCGATCTGTTGTGGTATAGATTGCATGATTGCAGTGACAGCCTGCATGCACTGGGATCTACAAACATGATGGCAGCAGTTTGAGCCTGAAAGTCAGCAGGTCAAGCAGCAACTGTAGAAAAAAGCAGAGTTAATGCTTTTCAGGTTGACATGTTAACTCTGTTTCCCTCTCCACAGCTGCTACCCGACCTCCTGAGTATTTTGTATATTTTCTGTTGTCATTGTTAACATTTAACAAATTGGTAATTAGAATGACCAAAAATCTATTATAACATCAAAATCATGAACAAAAAAATTACCAAGTATGGTAAACACAAGAAAATAAGAAATACGAGTAGGAACAAATGGCCCGTCATGCTGTATATTTAACATGATCATGGCTGATCTTGTACATGAATTCCACTTTCTAGTTGCTCCCCATATCTTTTGATACCCTGGAAGAATCTATCTCAATCTTAAACATATTTGATGATAGCACATCCATTGTGAATTCCAATGATTCACAACCCTTTGAGTAAAGGTATATATCCCTTCATCACACTCCTAAATGAGCAGCGGTATAAACAGCTAAAATAAGACAGACATAAGGGCAGCAGATTCATGTGAATATAATCAAGTTTCCTTCTCTCTCTCTCCCTTCCTCTCACTCACTTTTAATGGTTTGCATGTAAATATTGAATTGGCTCCACAGTTTTTTTTACAAGTGGTGGATAGGAGGTTTAAAAACAAGTCGCAGTGTTTGTGATGGTGGGACGATTGCTCAGTTGTGTCTGATAATACTTCTGGGTAGAATAAGAAGCAAACCCAAGGATGAGTCTGCAGAACTTTCTGCCCCAAGGTGGGACTAGCCTAAATCTGCCACCAGTAGTGGTCTATTTTGGTGTTCAACAATTAAAGATGCTCAATAAAAACCAAAAGAACTGTGGATGCTGTGTATCAGGAACAAAAACTGAAGTTGCTGGAAAAGCTCAGCAGATCTGGCAGCATCTATGAAGAAAAAGCAGAGTTAATGCTTCGGGTTCGGTGACCCTTCCTCAGATGCTACTAGACCTGCTGGGCCTTTCCAGCAACTTCTGTTGTCCTTGTTGTAAATAAACAATGCTCCTTTCCAATTAGGTTTCGAGTTCTCACAAGTCAGCAGCATTAGCTGGTATGTCACAGAGTGATGCCAACAGCTTGGGTTCAGCTTTTGCATTGGCAAGGGTACCAGAAAGGGTTCTCCTTCTCAGCTTCTTCCCTCGCCTGAGGTTAAATTCGCCACAGGTCCTCTTTCTTTCTATCTCTCTCTCTCTCATGGAGGAGCACTCCTATCATTCTTTGGGACTATGGCTACTTTACCACGTGGCCACCACTGCACCGTCCATCAGAAGAAACATGTGACCGTGTGTGCGCGGACCGGAAGTGACGATAAGAACGGGTGGGCGGGAAGCGCGCGCGGTTTGAAAGTCCCGCCCGCGGGCGGTGGAATAACGGTCACTGAGTAATTTTAACGGCTGGGTCGGTCCCAGAGCATGGAGACGGTGCTCGGGAACTTGAGCCGGTTCGCTGAGGTGCTGGCGGTGGCGCACAGCCCATGGGCCGCCGACTGGGACGATGCGGAGGTAAGCCGGGCTTTCCAGTGGGCCGGTTACCTGGAGCAGCTGAGCCGGCGCTTAGAAGGGGCGGGGAGCGTGGCGGCCCGGGCCGCCCTCCGGCAGCGGCTGCAAGAGCAGCAGCGCCTGAGGCCGAGGGCTCCGCCTGAACTGCCGCGGTACCGGGACCTACTCTTGGAGGAGCTGGGCCGCGGCGGCGAGCTGCTGTGCGAGGCGCTGCTGCACAACCCGGCCGCCTCCGCGCCCGCTTTCCACCGGGCCGCCGCCTGGTACCGATCGGCGGGGTCAGGAAGGACAAGCGGCGGAGGGCCGGAGGCGACGGCGGCCCTCTCGGCGTCGCTGGGGCGGGCCGTCAGGGTGAAGGCGGCCACCCGGTTGCTGCGGCGAGCCTGGGGTTCGGAGCCCCCGAGAGGGAGCGTCGGTGTCGTTTCGGAGACGGGAGGCCAGATTCTGCGCGAGCGGCTGGAGGAGCGCCTGATGATGGAGGGGCGAGAGTTACCGGAGCGGCAGGCGGCGGCCTACGAGGAGCTTCTGCAACGGGCTGTCCCCGGTGGCGACGGTGAGGAAGAACCCGGTTCTTTCCAGCCGCTCGCCGCCTTGTTGCTAGAGACGACTGAAGGGAATGATGGCAGCGAGGCGCGGGCCCGGGCCCTGGGCTGGTTGCTAGGAGACGGGCGCGCGCTCGCCACCCTCTGCCGCGCGCTCCCGTGTAGCCAGCTTGCCGCCCTGACCGCCCGCCGCCCGGCATTCGGCCGCCGCTACCTGCGCCTCCTGCAGCGCTGGGGTTGGGCCCTGCGTTATGACGCGGCCCGGGCCGAGTGGGCGCCTCCTTCTGCCGAGGAGCCGAGCTGGTGCCGGCTGCTGGAGCACTTCACCGCCCTCTGGCAGGGCCCTCCGCCGGTCAGGGAGGCCGCCGAAAGCGAGCTGCGCAGCCTTAAGGCAGCGGACGGTGACTTCGAAGTGCCGGGTGTCAGTGTCTGGACCGATCTACTGCTGGAGTTGGCCCAGTGAGGGCCGACTTCTGGATCGCCAGCAGTATGCTGGATGGGAATCTAAAATTTAACATTGGAGGAGCTCAGCAGGTCTGACAGCACCGTGCGGAAAGAGAAGAGCATTAATTAACTTTTGAACTCTTAAAGCATAAATAACAAGGCCACTCAGCCCCTTCGAATCTTCTGCCATTCAATAAAATCACGGCTGATCTGATTTTTTTAAACTTCAACTCCGCATTACTGCATATCCCCGATCATCTTTCATCCCCTTGATGAGCAAGAGACCAATGACCAAAGCGTTGCAAAATAGCATCTTTAAAAGTGAACCTATCTAACTTGCACTTCATTGGGATATACTTGGGTATTGGCTTGACGGATGGTGCCATAATCTTTGTAACAAAAACAAAAGCGCAGGAGCAACTCAGTAGATCTTTTGGCATTTGTGGAGAGAGAAACCAAGTTGCAATCTCCTGTCTAGTGTTTGTCTTTTGAAATGTCTGCTATTCTTATCAAAACAGTTTGAATTGGGATGTCAAGGTTTTGTGTGCAATTTACCATGCCTCTCGTGTTTTGGCAAGTGTATGAAGTAAACTGACTCGTATTTTTTCCATAGACCTTGACCAAGTTAGTTTACTCACTGTCACGTGCAACAACATCGCAGACGTGTGCATGTTCTAAAATTTAAATTTTAGTTTGACTGTTAGTTTTTCTGAGAGAGGTGATATGGAAATAAGTTACATTGAAACCTTATTTGAATCTGGAACACTGATAAAATGTACCCAAAGATATTATGGACCAAAGCAGTAAGTGTAGTCCCTCATTTATGACAGTATGATGAGTATATATGCAGCCTTGGAAATTCCTATTTGAAAAGGAGGTCTCATAGGATTAAGTAAAATGATAATTGCACTTCCAATTCACCAGATGAAGTACAAGCCAGATTTAAGATTGCAAATAGTAATCTAAATATCTACGGTACTTCGAAACGAGCCAATAAAATGTTGGAAGGTTTTAATTCACACTTAAATTGTAAATGACAATACTGCCATTTTAAATGTACTGTTTAAAATTGACCTCTTCCATCTGATGTGTCCCATGTACAAGATACAGGTGAAGTCACATTAGGGCTGTTCTCATCAGAGATGAATGATAGTGAATCTAACAAATTTGATTTTAAGATTTCAAGGTTTGAGTTTCACTGGCTAACTCAGCATTTATTATTGCTGTAGTCTGTGGCAATATAATGCTGTCTCTTTTCAGCCTGTGGCAAATCAACTATCACCTTCTTCAGGTCTCTTCTAGCAGGTCCTTGGAAACGTTTTATATCATTCTGGTGTAAGTTTTTTTTTGTTTTAAGTTAATTTTTGTTTAGTAATATTGAACTTAAATTGTCACTGACCATCCTAGGTGCAAATCCAGACAAGCTCCAAGATCAATTTACATTTTGTCCGACTTACATTGGTACTGATTACATGTTGGTGCCTCTACAACAGAAATACAATTGGGAGCATAGCCTCCCCATCCTATTCTTCTATCCTAAGCTTATTTGTTAGCCACTTCCTAATCGTACGCTCTCCTTAATACATGCATATATTTAAAGGAGTGTCCAGTGTTTTTACAAACTTTTTTATTGAAAGATACAGTGCATTAAGGTTTTTCCACTGTAACATTGTGAAACCTTGTTCTCATATTTAAGATGAGGTATTGAAAAGGATCAAATTAACCAGGCATCATCAGGTGAATAGACACTGCATGGTTTGCAGCTGTTGAAGGTTGGTCACTGCCATCTTATGGGCACTTGGGGAGGAACAATAATTGCTGGCAGGACAAACAGTACCCACATTCTGTGAATTATTTTTTTAAAATTTAAAATGCTGATGTTAGCTTTGACGTCATTAGATTTCAAAAATGCTTGAAGTTAAACTTTTTAGCTTTATCTCTTGGTTTGAATTTTTGATTCCCTAATTAAAATCAGAATTTATTTTTCTGGATTTTTGGAAGTCCTACTGAAACAATATAACAACAAAAAGTTATTCAAATTGTTGCAGTCTTTTTTCTGTGTAGAATTTACAGCTCAATATTCTGAACCAACTGATCTATGGTCTTTATGCTGAATTAAATTGTTCTCCACTCTCTTTACTTTCATTAACATTACCTAGTATTTACTTTTCCCTCACATACTTGTTTGGCTCCCTTGGAGCTGTCTATTTATACCCATCAATACTCAAAATGGCAGCATACTCCAATTTCTAACTAATACCTGAATTTTTTATTAGGTCTCATGATGACCTCCAGCCATGATGCCTTGTTTTTGGGGCTCGGTTACCAGGGAAAACATTTTTATCTAAGTGTATTATAAAGACTTTTCATGATTTCAGATCTATGAGATCATTACTTTTTGTACAGGAAAGTGCTCCAGCTTGTTCAGTGTTTCTCAATGATTTTAATCTCTGGGTTGTATTGTCATCCTTTTTGGCATATTTTTGCAGTATCTGTTTCACACTTCAGACTATGGCTGGAATGTTTTCACTTGGAGTAAACTGTAAACTCACCTGTCATTGCTAGTTTTTGATTTAGGTGTCAGTTTTGGCTCAATAGTACCAGTCATGCCACTGAATCAGATGTTTGTGTATTCCAACTCTGACTCCATAAACTATCAATGGTATTCAGAAACTGGTTGATTATGTATATATCAACAATACCACAAATTTTGTTTTGTTATCTTAGAAATTTTAGGCTCCAGAGATATGAAACACTGATCCAGGTGTGGCCTCAGCAATGGCCTATACTATCAAAATAATTTATTTTTCGTGTACGATATTGGTTATTTGTGTTTAGCAATGCGATTTTTAATGTTGAAGCAGTGTTTGGCATTGCTGTTTATAAATTGAGGAAAATATTGAAATCTACTTGAAGTAGAATAAATTAATAAAACAAAATGCTGGAAACTGGTCTGGTAGCATCTGTGGGGAGTGTAACTTTGATCTTTCATCAAAATTGGCCAGACATGAAACCTCAAGTTAAAAATGCAATTGCTTTTACATGGGAGAAATGGAGAGGAAAAAGACAAATGGATGGAGCAGCAGCTAGAAAACTATCTTGCAGAAAACTGCTGGGACAGAGCCAAAGAGTAGTAATGGGTTAAGAAACAAAAGATCTGTCTAGAGGTTGTTTGAATAGCTGAAAAATGATTAACTGCCACCTAAAAGCTAAGCAAGGCGGGGGCAAAAAAACTCTATTCTGACCAGTGGGGGGAAAAAAACAAGAACACAGATCAGGGCATGAAATTGTACAATGGCAGTATTATAGTGGTAATGTCACAGTGATTTAGAACCTCTGGCTAATGCTCTAGGACACGAGTTTGAATCCTGTCATGGCACGTTAAATGTGAATTCAGTAAAAATCTAGAATGAAAAGCTAGCTGAACTATGACTTGTGTTGATTTGTAAAAATGCGTCAGGTTCAGTATTATCCTTGAGGAAATCTGGCATTCTTACCTGGTTTGGTCAGCATTTAACTCCAGATTCACAGCATTTTGGTTAACAATGCATGCCCTTTTGTGCTTTTTGGGTTGGGCCAATAATGCCCTATCCCATGAATAAATTCAACTTTTTTTTTAAAAAAACCAAAAGAACTGCGGATGCTGTAAATCAGGAACAAAAACAAAGTTGCTGGAAAAGCTCAGCAGGTCTGGCAGCATCTGTGGAGGAGAAAACAGTTAACATTTCGGGTCCGGTGACCCTTCCTCAGCACCAGATCCGAAATGTTAACCCTGTTTTCTCCACAGATGCTGCCAGACATGCTGGGCTTTTCCAGCAACTTTGTTTTTGTTTCTTTTTTTTATTATATTCAGAGTTCAGTGGTTATAAAAGCCTAGTTTAAAAAAGGTTATTACACTGCAGTTTGCCAAGGACAGATGAGTGAGAATTTAAAACAGCAGGCCAAAGTGAGGTTATATTTTTAGATTCAAGAGATATTCCACAAAGCAGTTACATATAGATAACTGATAGTGAGAGGAATGTTGTTAGAGAGGGATGTAGATGTTTGTTCATAGTAAAGGGCAGATTCCGACTTGGAACTAATAGAATTTAAGTTTTTTTTTTAAAATAGGCAACAAACAGTTACCTGAAATCTCTTGCCTGAATGAGGTGTTGATTAGCTTTACTTCTATTTTAGTAAAAAGTTCTCAAAGCTCTCCAGAAAAATGTTTAAACTGTACTGTCAGTAAGGAGCAGTGACAGTGTGAGGAGGATTACCTGCAACTAAGAGGCTGAGTGAATCTGTCTGGGAATTTGGTGCTGGGTTGAGAGTTAAGGGGAAAGAAGTACTATAACTCAGGTTAGCTGCAAGAAGCAAATTCTTTTGGAGTGAAAGTGGAGAGAAGTTAAAAGATGCGGCTTGAGAGATGAGCAGAAGAGGACGAAAGGTGCAAATTGTGACACTTGTGAGGTGAGATAATGTCATGGGCTACAGATGTTTGGTTTGAGGTGGATTTGAATTCAAAATTGGGGCAGATGATCCTGGAAGTACTAAGGAGTCTGCTGGGTGCTATGAAGGTCTTGCCGTGGGAATCTAATGCTGATGTATGACAATTTAAAAAACCACAACCCTCACCACCCCATCCTACAAATACTCTCCAAGTTGCATTTATGTAACCTTGTGCCCCTTGTCAAACGATGCTGTTCAACCCACCTCACTACGCTTTGTAGCACATGTCTTATGCCTTTTGGCCTTACCAGATGATTTGGAATGGTAGGTGTATTAACCATGGGCCTCAGGACCAATGTAGAGATGATATTATCACAGTGGTATTATCACTGGCCTGTTAATCCAGAGACCTAGATACAGTTCTGGAGACCTGGGTTTGAATCCCGCCATGGCAGATGGTGGAACTTGATTTCAATAAATATCTGGAATTAAGAATCTAATGATGACTGTGAATCCATCGTCTGTTGTCAGGAAAAACCTATCTGGCTCACTAATGTCCTTTTGCGAAGGAAACTGCCATCCTTGTCTGGTCTGGCCTACATGTGACTCCAGACCCACAGCAATGTGGTTGACTCTTAACTGCCCTCTGGGTAATTAGGAATGGGAAATAAATGCTGCCTAGCCAGTGACACCCTCATTCTGTCAATGAATAAAGAAAAAAAATGAAGCTGTAATAAGTGAAGTTCTGTGTTTATTTCAGACCTCATTACCAAAAAATGCATTCATAAAAGAACCATTGACTACATTTAAATTAGTTCAGTTAAATAGTTTTGTAATAAACTTTTGAATTCATAGTTTAAGTTTCTGAGATGTGACTAACTGTAGCTGTCAGTTGCGTTGCAGGTACCCTATAATGCTATTGACTATTGTGAAATCAGACATGTAGCAGTGATCCCTTAATTGAAATCTGCAAGCTTAGGGCAACAGATTGAAAGAGTAAGCAATGCACTTTTTAAACATTCCTGACATTCCTTCAGAGATTATAACAATTTTTAAATGCCTTGAAGCTCCCTTTCACATGTGTTTTGACATGTCATGTTGACCCTTTCATAGCTGCTCTTGGCGTTATTCCGAGGCCCCTTTGACAAATCCCTTCAGATGCTTCACATAGTTTTGACAGTTGTCTTTGATGGTTCTGTTGACAGATGCTCTGAGCTTGAGAGTAATGCATTTACACAGGCCTATTTTAAAATAATGCCAAAGGGTCCCAGACTTTTATCACAATTCCTTCACCGTTGCTCAATCAATGCAAGAAACTGGTATCTTTACAGAAAATATCAGTTAAAGAACTTGGGTAATTAGATGATACGACATTGATTTTCTGTCTGCAAACTTTGAACAATTAGAAAATCAGTCCCTTGAAGAGCCTCTGTCACTTGGTTCATTCTCCATATTCATGTTGCAAGCTGCTGGAATGGTACCCTGTAGACCCTTTATCAATGGAAATGTTTAGAAGGGCGCAGATGATGTTCCTGGCATAATTTAAACCAGCCTTGAGATGGGAGAGCAAAACATGGTGTAAATTACCAGCTCCTAGAAATAAAGCAATATGAACAAGTGCTGAGAGTCAAGATGGTACTTGTTGAGTGGCAGTGCTCTCGGGGCAGTTGTTACTTGCAAATGCAAGGTGGATCAGAAGAGGAGGAGGAAGACCCACGTGGGGTGTTCATCAACATTCCTGCTAGAGAGCAGGCTGCTGCCGCCTCAAACTATTGGGATCTATACCTGCTGTGCCAATAATCCTCTGGTATCAATGAACAGCCATCATCTGTCAAAAAGCCTATGCCAATGAGGAACAGACTGATTCTGGCAATTCAAACACCCGACTTCCTTTCTCTGAATGATGTGTTGATTGCTATGGCTAAAATGTGTCTGAACAGATCTATTTACTGTAGAAAGACAAAGGTTAATAGACTTTTATTTGAATGCAAACAGTATTCAGAACAAAATAAATGAGTTCATACACATACAGATTGTTGGCTATGATCTTATTAGCCATCATGGAGAAGTAGGTACAAGGAGATCAAGACTGGGAACTAAGGGGCAGGCAGAAAGGAAAGCGTTGTAGGTTAGCTTTGCTAGTACAAGATGGAATCAGTATGATAGTAAGAAATGATCTTGGATTAGAAAATATAGATTTCATTTGGGTGACAATAAGATATAAAATGGGTAAGATGATATGGGCGCCCCTAACTATAGCTATATAATGGGACAGAATAAATAAGGAGAAAATGAGAACATGTAAAAATAGGCAGAATATTAATTGTGCTGACTTTAATCTTCATGTACATTCAGATAGTTAGATTGGCAGAGGTAACCACGAGCAAGAACTCAAATCATTCGGTCTCCTAGAACAATGTGTTTTGATCCAACCAGGGATCAAGCTGTTTGGATCTGGTGATGTGTAATGAGAAAGATCTAATAAATGACAAAAGTGCCCTTCAGAATCAGTGGCCATAAAATTGTAGAATTTAGTGTGGAATCTGAGAGTGAGGAACTTGGGTCAGAAACAAATTTGCTAAATTTAAATAGGGTAATTATAGAGAAATGAGGGCAGTGCTGGTTGGATTGGACTGGGAATGGAGTTTAGCTTGTGGAAAAATAGACATTGAAGAAAATAGTTCAGCAAAGATATATTCCAGAATGGGGTAAGGCAACCATGGTTAACCAGCAAAGTTAAGGGATAGTATTAGGTGGAGGGGGGTGGTGGGAATGCAATAGGGCAAGGATTATAGTAAACCAAAAGATTGGAAACTTTTAAAAACAGCCAAAAAAAGTAATAAAGAGGGAAAAGATTAACTTTGAGGGCAGACTTGCAAGTAGCATGAAGATGGACAGGAAGAACAGTGTTAAGTATGAAAAGCGATAGAGACCAAAGTTAACATTAGCCTCTTACAGAACAAGGCTGTGGAAATAATAATGGGAACAAAGAAACTAAGAGGAGTGGAATAAATATTTTGCGTTGATCTTCACATTTAAGCCAGAGGCAAAATTTCTCCTCTGAGGTAGTAAATCTGTGAAATAACTCCACAGAGACTAATATCCTGTCACCAAGGCACCCTTTATTTACAATTGCATAGTACTTGACACTGGCCCGGCTCCTCAGAGCCCACTCTTGGCATGAACAGAGCTTCAGACACTCACGTTTACATGTGTCAGCTGAGGCTGTTAACCTGGCCCAAACAGGGAACACTCATTCTGTGAGGTGCACCTGGCTGAACTCTTTACAATCTCTACATCCTTTCCCCTCTAAGTCCGCTGACATAGGCCTGTTCTTTTGTAGCCCTTCCTGGGGCATTTGTGTACCAGATCCTGTTCCCGCAATTCAACATCGGATGCAGACAGAGTGCAATAGACCGTAGCCTGTCTCTTGTGCCCTGAAGCGTCTCGGGAGAAATTCATCATCCTCTTCAGGTGGTAAAGACATCAAGGCTGCGACATCTGCCATGTCCATGTCACACACTAAGGTTTCTTTGACACCAGAAAGAGGGGGTGCGCTCACAGGTTCTGACAGACTTTTGGCTGTTCTGAGGATCGGGTATGTTTTGCTCCTGCCTCATTTGTGAGTTTGCAGCTTTCATGTGTTCCATGTGCTTGTTCAAGACTGCCTCTCCCACCTGAACTTTGTACGTCACAGGACCTGACCTCGCCTTGACCATGCCTCTTAGCCATGCAGTGCCATTTCTATAGTTTGGCAACAAACGTTTGTCACCCAAAATAAACTGTGCCTCTCAGTTAGAGGAGTCTCATGTCCAGCATTGGCATTCCTGATGCGGCTTCAACCTCTTCCCCGCTCCGCTCCCCTCCCCACCCCCAACACTTCTGGGAGGATCAGATTTAAACTGATGGA